GGGTTATTTTATATGCTATTTGTGCAGCAGCAGTATGTCTTAAATACTCACAGCACCGTATCGCCATATGCATTGGCAGTAGCAAGTTCCTGTACTTGCTTGCAGCAGCAGCAATAATCTACAACTACAGCAATAACCAACAGCAGCAGCAATTCAGCAGCAGCGTAGCAGATCTGTTCCGCCAAGACCAAATACATTAACATTGTCATATCCATCACCATGCTAAAATCTTCAGAGAGTTGTCTTGATTGAATTATAGTTAACTAAAACTAAAACTAAAACCCTTAAAAAAACATGTTACTTAAAGTAAATGTTGACATAAAAAGTTAGTTCCAAAGGAAATATTTCTCGTTTCATTTAGTTTAGCTTGATGTACAAATAACTAAAACTAAAATAAAAAAAAAAAATGCGGGTTCTTTGTGTTAGTGATTGTGAATGAGCTGATATTGTGAGTTTAGGCTATTTGTCAGTAACTGAATGGTAATTATAATCTATATGAGTAATGCTTAATGAGATTAATATTTTCAGGGACCACCAGGATCACCTGGAATGCCAGGAATTACAGGAAAACCAGGAAAACCTGGAGACACTGGCTACCCAGTATGTACATTTGGCTCATTCTAAATATCATAGGACTTGTTCTAAAGACATTTATATAAATGAATGCATGTACAAATTTCAATAGTGTGCCATTCAACCTAACCAAACCTATGGTCACTTGCTATAGGTGATAGTGATTTGAGTGATTTCTAACTCATCTTTTCTCATCTGTCAATCCCAGGGACCTGTTGGCGTGAAAGGAGAGAAGGGTGAAAGGGTATGTGTCACTTTCATACAATTTGCATTTTAAATCATGCATTGTACACCCAGAACACCCTAGCAAATGCTTACAGTACCTTAGCAACCACCCTGCAATGCCCTAGTAACCATGAAGAACACACTTGCAACTGTACAGCAACTCCTAATAAAATCCTAGCAACCAACTAGCAATGGCTTAGTAACAACCCAGAACATTGCCAGCAAAAATGCTTTTGCTTGAGCAAGAACAATCTAGATTTTTCTGTTTTCTGTTTTCCAGGGAGATACTGCGTCACAGAATATGATGCGCTCTGTAGCAAGACAAGTCTGCGAACAACTAGTCAGCAGTAAGGCACTTCAAAATAATAACAAAAAAGGTTACACTTTATTTCGATAGTCCACTTTAGACATTCTATTAACAGTAAGTAACTTTGCAACTACATGTCAACTAGCAGTTAGTAGAGTATTAGTAGACTGTCTGCTTAATATCTTCTAACACTTTCTTTGTCAACTTATTCTACTAACCCTAAACCTACCCTAACAGTCTACTCTGAGAGTTAGTAGACATGTAGTTGCAAATTAATGAGAATTAGTTGACATGTAGTTGACATGTAGTTACAAAGTTACTTATAGTTAATAGAATGTCTAAAGTGGACTATCGAAATAAAGTGTAACCTTTTAATCTTTTTAATGTTGTGGAAAATATAATTTCCTAAAGTATTATTATGAGTGATATTTATCATGTCTAGTATGATGTTCATTAAATCTGCTGTTACATTATGAATCCAGACATATATCTCTACTCACAATTTTTATGATCTGTAGAATCACTGCACTCTCCCGTTGTACTGTGTTTGTTTGGCTTATAATTAACTGTTCATTTATTCTTCAGGTTTTTTCAGTTTTGATACAGACGGAGTGTCAGTGATGGAGGGAGATTCAGTCACTCTACACACTGGTGTTCGAATGAAACAAAAAGAAAAGATTAGATGGTATTTTAATCACACTGCAATAGCTAGAATCTTAGGAGATCGCGGAAAGATCTGTACAGATGTTCAGTGTAATAATGGCACTGAGAGATTCAAAGGCAGACTGAAGCTGGATCGTAAGACTGGATCTCTGACCATCAGAGACATCAGAACCACAGACTCTGGACTCTATGATCTACTGATCAACAGGGTCCACCGCCGCCGCATTAGCAATACCAAGATCTTCATTGTTGCTGTTCATGGTGAGTCATTATGTTTGAAAGCGAGCCTTGTATATTTAACATCATTAATGTGTTTAGTGATATTTTTTGCTGTGACATTCAGAGGTTTTTTTCCATTTACCTGTATTTTAATTCACATACAGAACATAGATAATTCCTTCAAAAATACATTTACTGAACTACACACTTAAATGTATGGACTTGAATGGAATGATTTATCAAAATCCAAACTTTATTTCTATGAATGGTTTTGTCATCATCAAGACTGATCAGGGTCTCCAGTATCTTATTTCTTTGAACTCTTATTTATTATTTGTATATACAAAATGATTTTTGCTGCTTGTTAAATTTAGTTCATTACAATCCAAAATACCTTAAAAGGCGATGATCGATCCGATTCCAACAATATAAGACACTTGAGTCTGCGACTAAAGGTTTTAATAGTTATGAGCGATTTCATACTTTTGATCACTGTAGTGCCACCATCAGGCTGATCAGGGCAAGCCATTGTGACGCTGTAGACTGTGAGTACTACCATCCCTCCAAGTTTCAAGTCTCTAGGGCTTGCGGTTTGGTCTGCCTGATCACGTTTAGGTCAAGAATGCTGATCCTTGGACATTCTAACAATTACAATATGGTTTTGAACCCCTAAAAATAATCCTTGTCTGTCAAGTCTGGTAAAAACTAGTTGCAGTTTGGAGGCTATAACAGAACTGTAACATTTGTGTCTATTAAGCATATTGTTCTATAATTCTGTGAGTTGTTAGTTTTAACAGCTTAGATTGATTAAAACGCTGCACTTCAGCCAATGGAGATGACTGTTTCTAATCTTACCATCTCTGATAAGCTTCTCTGGACATCTGTTTTAACTGGTCTATTGTTTCATCCTCACTGACATTTAGTTCATCAACCAAAGTGCCGAGAGAATTTGGTGTTAATCAGAAGTATGTTAAATGTGTTCATAATGTGAACTATAACATTCTTTCATGACTTTCAGTCCAAAAAGCAACATGAAAGTCACTTTTCTATGCAGTTATTTCATGTTGAGTAACTTTTTTTGTAAAGGTATTTTTATTTATATAGCGCTTTATACAATATTGATTGTGTCAAAGCAGCTTTACAGTGCTAAAAAGATCCTATAGTAGCTGTTGGTTTGTGTTTCAGATGTTCCTGCTGCTGAACGAGATGAAATGAAGAGAAAGTCAGTGAAGGAGGGAGAATCTGTTACTTTAGACACTCGCGTAACGAAAAACCCAAATAATTCGATAACATGGTATTTTAATGACATTCTCATTGCTAAAAAAATCACTGGAGATCAGAGTAAAATCTGTACAGATGTTGAGTGTGAAGATGGTGCTGAGAGATTCAGAGGCAGACTGAAGCTGGATCATCAGACTGGATCTCTGACCATCATGAACACCAGAACAACAGACTCTGGAGATTATAAACTACAGATCAGGAGCAGCAGATTCAGCATCATTAGGAGCTTCAGTGTTTCTGCTGCTAGTGAGTAAAATTAATTCATGATACTTAGTAATTATTTCCATCTTTGATCTCGTACAGTGGATAAAAAAAAGTATACACCCCTTGTTAAGACAGTAGTTTTTTTAAAGATTAAAAAAAAAAAAGTCAGATCTTTTTCCACCTTCAATACGATTTTTTTTTTCTTTTTTTTTAACAAGTCTGTCTACTATGCTATCAAAGCTAATAGCAGTCCAATGAAATGGTGTGGGAATTTTTTTTTGGACAGTCAGTGTAAAGTCGACTCCAGCACATCCCAAAGACTTTCAATGGGGTTAAAGTCAGGAATCTGTGGTGGACAGTCTCTCACAATTTAAGCCTGATGAATCTTAGTAGATAGTCCACAGCTAGCTGTGCATTAAACGGTTTGAATGCACTCCTCAGTCAGAGGCAGCCACCTCAGCTTGTTGTGTGTATCTCATCGATGTATGTTTGGTTGTTCTGTTCCAAAGTTATATCTTGAGTTCAGAGTATTCTATTCCATTTGAGTTTCGTGAATAAAAAAGACACTGCTGTGACTAAATCCAGCCCTTTATTTAGTTTATTTGCCACCAAGCCGTGACACATAGAGATAATGTTTTATAATTGGTCATACCTCTTTATAAATATACTGTCTATATATATATATAGATAGATAGATATAGATAGATAACTGGAATAGTGCACTCTGTTAATATATAAACCATTTAGTATAGGAAATTATGATCCGCACTCTCGAGAACAATCTTCTTTTTTATTTTACATTCATTACTGATGGGAAAAGACCATCAGTCTACATACATAAACCATTCAAATGAAATAGGTTCTGAGCAGTTTTCACTGGAAGAGATTGAAATAAATACAGCAGTCATTGTAAAATTATTATATAAGGAGATTATTTTTCCTTCCACTGAATCCCAAAGGAATTCTTATATGTGACCCTGGACCACAAAACCAGTCATAAGGGTCAATTTAAAAAAACAACTGAAATACGATAATAATGAATAAATAAGCTTTCCATTGATGTATGGTTTGTTATGATAGGACAAGATTTGGCCGAGATACAACTATTTGAAAATCTGGAATCTGAGGGTGCAAAAAAAAATCTAAATACTAAGAAAATTGCCTTTAAAGTTGTCCAAACAAAGTTCTTAGTAATGCATATTACTAATAAAAAATTAAGTTTTAATATATTTACGGTAGGACATTTACAAAATATTTTCGTGGAACATGGCCTTTATTTAATATCCTAATGATTTTTGGCATAAAAGAAAAATCGATAATTTTGGCCCATACAATGTATTTTTCTTACAAAATATTTTCGTGGAAAATGGCCTTTACTTAATATCCTAATGATTTTTGGCATAAAAGAAAAATCGATAATTTTGGCCCATACAGTGTATTTTTGGCTATTGTAACAAATATACCTGTGCTACTTATGACTGGTTTTGTGGTCCAGGGTCACATATGGTGTGGTAAATAGCACACTTTCTTGAAGTATTATTATAGATATTATTCATCTATGTAAAATGTATGGGTTGTATGGTGTTCATTAAAGGAGTAGGAGTAGTGATTATTTACTCATCTCTAAGCCATCCAGGATGTATATGAATTTCTTTCTTCAACCAAAGAGAAATTAAGGTTTTTGAGGAAAACATTCCAAGATAAGAGAAGGGACTTTGGTATCATTGCCTGATCATTTGCATTAGATGGAGAAAATCCTGGAATGTTTTCCTCAAAATCCTTAATTTCTGTTAATGAATGAAAGTCATATTCAAGGTATGGGGATGAGTAAATAATCAGGAAATGTTCATTTTGTGGTAAACTAATCCTTTAAGATGTATAAGATATTTATTCTTCTGCTGTTTGTTTGCATGTGTTACATTATGAATCCAGACATATTTGGTTTAGCTTGTAATTACCTGTTGTTGTGTTGGTTCAGATGGAGTGCCAGTGTCAGTGATGGAGGGAGATTCAGTCATTCTAAAATCTGGTGTTAAAACAAACCAACAAGAAAATATTCTATGGATTTTTAATGACACTTGCATCACTGGAGATCTCAGTAAGATCTGCACAGATGTTCAGTGTGAAGATGCTGATGAGAGATTCAGAGAGAGACTGAAGCTGGATCATCAGACTGGATCTCTGACCATCACAAACACCAGAACCACAGACTCTGGACTTTATCAACTACAGATCAGCAGCATTAGAATCTGCATCATTGCGAACTTCAGTGTCAGTGTAACTGGTGAGTATCATTGAGTGATGATATAAATTGTGTAAATGTGTGTTTGATGAGTGAATGTGTGAATCAATGATGTTCTTCTGCTGTTTGTTTGCATGTGAATCCAGACATATTTGACTTCTCAAAATCTTTATGATCTGGAGAAAATTTTTTTTACAGCCCTTTCCTGATTGTTTGGCTCATAATTAACTGTTCACTTCAATTGTGTCTGGTGTTTGTGCAGGTGGGGTGCCAGTGTCAATGAAGACAGGAGATTTAGTCACTCTACACACTGGTGTTAAAACAAACCCACAGGAAAAGATTAGATGGTATTTTAATGACATTCTCATTGCTGAAATCACTGGCAATCTCAGTAAGATCTGTACTAATGTCCGGTGTAAAGAGAGATTCAAA